ATGGACTCCTGCCCCCCTGAGCTGTCTCCCTGTTCATAAGCAGCCCTTCTTTCTCCCATGATTGTTTTCTCCATGGAGTGTATCTACCTCATGTAAATGTTCAACTCATATGCCTGTCTATCGTTTGACTGGAAGTCACAGGTGTGGGTTCAATTCCAAACCTAAAGGGCAGCTAGGGGCCATAGTCTCAGTGGTTCCACCAGGCTGTATTGGACCAGCAAACCTAGTCCCCCTCTTTTTTTTCTCCAAATGATTTTGAGTTTTGTTCCACATTGTTCTCCCTCTCTATCCAGGATCTCCTACATAGATCCCGCTCCAAGTGGTTGACAGTAGTAGCAGGGCACCATCTAGTTCTTCTGGTCTTATAGTTGTATAGGCTGCAGATCAGATGGTGTACCAGTTGCCAGGACTAATTATTTCCATGAATTTTGTATTTTCTTCATTCTTCTTTGCTCTGGATGAGGAGAGACTCATCATTGCATCTAGATGGCAGCTTGCATGCTTTTAAGATGCTAGTCACTACTCACCAAAGTAGGAGGTGGAACAATGTTTTGTGTAGTATGTTATGCCAATTGAGCTTGATGTCCTCTGCGACCATGGTCCCGAGTCCACAGGTTCAACTACACGGTCCCTCTGGGTAGTTGGCTGTGACCAAGCAATGACTACCACCTTGCCCCTTGTCAGCTCTACTATACACCTGGGAATTCAGATCATACACATAAAGTTATAGGACCATTGTCTGCCAACCCTATACATGGTCTTGGGTACACTCCCCACTTCATAGACATATCTAATAGTTCAGCCTGTCCACCCATGTTTGCCTTCACTGACCACGCCGTACTATATGCACAAAAGGGTTCATCTTTGTTGTTTGTACTTTCCACGTACCTCTCTATGTCTTTCTCTTCCTCAATGCCACTATATTGATCACTCATATTTGGTACATTGCCCTTCTCTTCACCCAAATCAATACTTATCTCTATCTATCTAACAGTGTTCCATCCCCTCCCCACTTATCCCTGGTAACCAACAAAGAAAATTTCCTTCCATAGATAAATGTTTCCTTGACTTTTACAATAATGGACTAATACAATATTTGTCCTTTTGTGATTGCCTTATTTCACTCAGCATAATGTCCTCCAAGTTCATCCACATTATGTGGTGTTTTGCAGATTCTACATTATTCTATAGCATTGCATAATATTCCATTGTGTGTATGTACCAAAGTCTGGTTATCCATTCCTCAGTTGATGAACACCTAGGTTGTTTCCATCTTTTGGCTATTATAAATAGTGCTGCAATGAACATGGGGGTGCATATGTCTGTTCTTGCCATGACTCTCACTTCTTTAGGATATATACCTAGTAATGGAATAGCTGGATCAAATGGTATTTCTAGTTCCAACTTTTGAAGGAATTGCAATACTGCTTTCCACAATGGTTGTACCATTTTACAGTCCCACCAGCAGTGTACAAGAGCCCAATCTCTCCACATCCTCACCAGCATTTGTTATTTTCTGTCTTGTTGAACTTTGCTACTAGTGCTGGAGCAAGATGGTATCTCATTGTTGTTTTGATTTGCATCTCTCTAATAGCTAATGATTATGAGCATTTCTTAATATGTTTGTTGACCACTTGAATAGCCTCCTTGGTGAAGTGTCTATTCATGTCTTCTGCCATGGATGATATTCTTGATGTCATCCCACAATGCCTCTGGTTTTTGGTCATTGATGTTCAATGCACCAAATCTATTCTTTAGATTGTCTCTGAATTCAGGAGGGATATAATCAAGGTCATATTTTGGTTCTTGTGGACTTGTTTAATTGTCTCCAGATTCAGCTTGAACTTGCATATGAACTGCTGATGTTGATGGCCTGTTACACAGTCACTCCTGGCCTTGATTAGGCTGAAAATATTGAGCTTCTCCATCACCTTTTTCCACAGATGTAGTTGATCTGATTCTTGTGTACTCCAATTGGTGAAGTCCATATATGTATCTGCCATTTATGTTGTTTGAAAAAAGTGTTTGCAGTAAAGAATTTATCTTGCAAAATTCTATCATGGAATTTCCAGCATAATTCCTTCACCAAAGCCATATTTTCCAACTACCGGTGATTCTTCTTTGTTTCCAACTTTGGATTCCAATCACCAATAATAATCAACACATCATGAGTGCATGTTTGGTCAATTTCAGACTGTAGAAGTAGGAAAAATCTTCAGTTTCCTCATCTTTGGCTTTGCTGGTTGGTGCATAAATTTGAATAATTGTAGTATTAACTGGTCTTCCTTATAGGTGTATCGATATTATCTTATCACTGACAGCATTGCATGTCAGGACAGATCTTGAAACATTCTTTATGATGATGAATTCCATGCCATTCCTCTTTAATTTGTCTTTCCTGGCACAGTAGATTATATAGTTGCTTGATTCAAAATGCTCAAAACCAGTCCATTTCAGATCACTAATGCCTAGGATACTGATCTTTATGCATTCCATTTAATTTTTGACAACTTCTAATTTTCCTAGATTTATACTTCACACATTCCATGTTTTGATTATTAATGGATGTTTTCTGCTGTTTCTTCTCATTTTGAGTCATGCCACATTAGTAAATGGAAGCCCTGAAAGCTTTACTCCATGCACATCATTAAGGTAGACTCTACTTTGAGAAGACAGCTCTTGTCCAGTCGTATTTTGAGTGTCTTCTGACCTGAAAGGCTCATCTTCTGGCACTATGTCAGACAGTGTTTCAGGGCTATTCTTAAAGTTTTCCGGTAATATATCTGACAGTGTTTCACTGCTATTAATAAGGTATTCACTGGCCAATTCCTTGAGAAGTGGATGGGTAATGAGGTAAAGATCCCTTAGATTAATAGATGTTGATTATCTATAAAGAGGCCATGACTTATTATGGAAGGCAGGATGAGTAAAGTATTCCATCTATCTGAAAATAAGACCGGGATAGACAAATGCCAGGCTGAAGCATTCATTTTTCCCACAGTAATTTATTGTATTGCCATTAATAAAATCTAAAAGTAATGATGATTATCACCAATAACAGTGGTTTTGAGAGAAAAAAATTGGATGTGTTGCATAACCTACTTATAGTCTCTGGTGAAGTCTCTCTCTTTCTCTTTCTTTTCTATGTTTTAAAGTGTACACACTGTACACTTGTAGTACATATATACAACATGGAGAATTTAGTTTAATTCTAGCATGTCCAAACTTGAACTTTCATTAGATTGTAACAGTTGGATTAAGTCTGCCAAAGTTTTTCATAAAGGGCCATGATTATCATGATTGTCATCATTTATGTTGCTACTCAGTGGAAGAAGTAAGTTTTTCTATTTTCCTCAGATACAGGATCAGAGTTGGCACTTTGTGATTTACAAAAAGGAGCTCTATCCGGGTAGACAAAACCAATTGCCTAACTAATGCACAATTAGGGAATGAGCAACACCCTTTTTGATAGGTAAAGTCCTTCTCTGATGGATAGTCCAGGGACTGTGGTTGGTGAGCAAAAACTGGATTTATTATCATCTCTACTTTGTCCCCTCTGCCAGAGTCTTTGTGTGTTGCACAAACTATATGACCTTACCCAGAATCTCAAGGTACCCAGAAAGAAAATCTTATTGACATGGTAAAAAAAAGACATGATACCAAAATGGTGGCCATGAATGTGGGTCTATGGTGGGAGGTGGAGTGCTCTTGTAGAGAAGGAAGTAAACAATGTTGTTACTGGAATCTATTAAAACATGTGTTATCATTTATTCCCATGTGCCAATGTTTGCTTGCAACAATTTGAAAGTAAGTACCTAAGGTAGGTTGCTGAGTGGTCAGTGTTTGAGATTTGAGGCGGAAGGAAGAGGAAAGTTACTGAAGTATTGCCTAGTGACTCCAGGAAGAGTGAAACTGCTCTAACTGCAACGGGAGTTCCTTGTTTTGTTGTTGACACTTTCAAGTTGTTAATAGAAAATAAAACCAGGAAAGACACAACTGCAGCTAGCAGAAGACAAGCCACAACAAGTTCACTGAGTTTTATTTTTATATCTTTGTTTGTTTTAGCTTCTGTTTCAGATCCTGAGAGGTCCTGCCTCAGGTGATGCCTCAGATTAAAACTTGTTATTTCTTGTAGTGAGAAATCTTTGGGATCTTCTGTCTCCTCTTGGCCAGTGAATCCTAAGAATTATGGCCAAGCTTGGCCTTGAAGATCATCTCTAGTCCTGATTCATTTGTCTATATTATAAAGCAAAATATCTAAAATACATAACATTATTGAGCAAGGAAAATGTGAATACTTTTCCTACTTTCTAAATACATTAAATTTTCCTTACAAATATTAGTAGGTATTTGAGAAGCAATTATTTTTTTATATTATATGTTTTCTTTAATAGCTTCTTAATCTGGGATTTCACCCAAGAATGGCTTCTACTTTGATTCTCAATCAGACTCATAGATGCCAAGAATTAACTCCTAGAGAATTGTGGACTTAATACAGCACAGCTTCTGGGAAGGTAATACATCCAAATCCCAAGCAACAGATGTTCATTAAAAACCAGTAGCAAAGCCATTATGAGAAATTAAAATGCTGCTTTAATGTACTAAGTGGAATGATAAAATTAGCTTTTAAAATAAATGAAATCTTTTAAATTGTTTTAAATATAAATAACGGCAAAGCATAAGTCATCAATTAGGTATTTAATTGCAGTAACTATTCCTCAAGAATTGGAGCATTCCTAAAAGAAGGTCTTCAATTTATTGCTATTTGGAGCTCATAATTACTAATTCATTGACTGTTGTCACCAACTCAACATGGTAAGTTGAGTATCTGTGGATACTCAGCAGATAATATTCTTAAGTGTCTTGACCAAAATATTTTTTAAAACCTAACCATCGAATCCAGAAATGTCATGTCTCATGAGAAAAATTCTGGTTCTGTATAGTCCTTTTTTTCCATTTTCTGTTGGGAGAAATAATTATTAAATTGTGATTTTCAATACCTTCTGCATCCTGGATGAGCTCCTTAACGAATTTTCCTAAAGACTTTGCTCTTGTGTCGGTCCTCTCAGCATCCTGTCCAGTTTGCTCGCCATCTGCTGTCACTTTGGTAGCCTAATGATCCAAATTCAGAAAAAACATAATTAATAGGAATGATGAAGCTACAGCTAGATAAGCTCCCCCTGGCTGTATTTTCTTTCAAATATTACTTTGAGCCAAAGGCAATCGATGAATTATTGATCAGATGTACTGGAAATGACACCCTGTGCTCAAGTATACAATTAAACTTTATTACTTCTTCCATTAAATAGAAATCAGAGAACTGTATTTGGTCTTTTTAAAACTGTCATTATATGCAATGGCACAGAAGAAGCCATAAAGTACAATTATTTTTGAAATATCTTTAAGATACTCTTGCCAAAAGTCTTTAATGGATTCTTCAGGCTCCACATGTTGTAGTTTTGTTTTTATTTTATTTACTAAAAAAGTACAGAGTTCAGCAATGATCTCTCGAGAGAGGCACAGGCAGTCTGTCTCAATAAGCTTGATCCTATAGATTCGCTTTAGATCAATATGTTAATTAAAGAAACAAGGAGGGGAAAATGCTTAGTTACTAAGTAGGAAATGTTTGTTTTATAACACTTTAAAGATATCAGTAAAACATTAAGCAAGAATAAATGCTAACTTTTCCCATATGAGAGTACCAGAATAGATGACAATTAATCACAGAACCATACACCACTGTCAACAAAGTAAAACTGAGCCCAAATACAGACCCTACCTCTCCAAAAAGTATCCTTATACAGCTTCACCTTTAATTTACATTGAAAATACCATTTGACACAATGGAATCAATTTAGTGTGTATAGTTAAAACATGCCATATTGAGTCAAACAAGAATAATATGTACAGTTTTAAAAGTTTAAAATTATGCTATAGGCTTATCTATGTGTGTGTATGTGGGGGGTTCTATATATATGTATATATATATATGTATATATACATATGCTAATAAAAAATCTCTTTTACTAAAAGATATGGATATTCTAACTACACATAATAAATTAGAGAATGGCAAACTGTCTCAACATAATTTTGAATAATAACTAAGCTGATAGATCATTAATACTTCGTTTCAGAGTGATTGCATTCTCAACATGCTCAGAAATCGAAATTATTAAGTGGATTTTTAAATAGAACTAAATGACTGGCCAGCACCGGGATGCTGCAGGAATTGTACTGCATTTTGTGATTTCCCAGGGGCAGCAAGAGGTTTAATTGATGAAATTTCTAGAGTTCTTACATAAAAGGTGGAATATAGCATTCAATTGTTAGCATATCAAATTGTAGAATGAAAGGATAAGAATATATTGGAAGTTTAAAAAATTCCTCTCTCCGCTTTGCCATATATATGTACACAATGATTTGCATAAGAACCCAGGTGGCTCAAGCACTTTGTGATTGGCTGCTAACTGAAAGGTTGGTGGTTTGAATGCACCCAGCAGCTTCATGGAAGAAAGGCCTGGCAATCAGCTTCCATAAAGATTACGGCCAGGAAAACCTTATGGAGCAGTTCTATTCTGTAACACATGGGATCTCTGTGAGTTGGCAAGGCAACTCAGTGGCAGCAAATAGGAATAACCATCAATGCATATACTGCTCTGGATTTACTGTTCTAAAATACTAATAATGGAATTATTTTTACTTTTAGACTTAAATTTTTTCTCTGAAATAAACTGTGTATGAAATACCAAAATTACTCAAATTTTTGCTTTTGGGGGAGTTGTTGCAAGCATGTCTTAGTAATTTCCTGAAACTTGGTTTCTAAACACATACTTGGCAGGCTCATGTGGGTCATATAATACACACCCACATTTTCAAATCACTAAGTAGGGCTGACTGCTAAAGATGTTGGCAGGCTACTCAATAGGATATGTCTAGCCTGGACATGACTGTGCTCTATGACATCATTGCTATTTTCACATAGTGCATTATCAGCTTAATAAGAGACTTGATCTATGTTATGGTCATCTCCTGATATCTTAAGAATTCATGTAATATCAGCACCAGTATCCTTACTATACAGAAAATGTACATTATAGTTAAACTTGAAATTTATTTCTCACTTTATCAATATCTTATCTATATTACTAATTTACATCAATATTTATGCTATATGATTTTATCAATTGTTATTAATGGCTCAAAAAGTTCTGGTTTGTGTAAATGGATAAAATCATACTTTACAAAATTTACATATTTAACAATTGTTAATAGCTCAAAGCTTCTAACTTATTGAAAGTAAATATATATTAATACATTGCTCTTATATAAAAATTATATATTAATACTGTCTCTTACAGATTTTGGATTCCCTAGATAATATTCATTGCCTTGATTCTCCTCTACTTGTAGTCTACTCCTTCAATGGTGATTTATATAGTAGTCTGTAAGAGTCATCCCTGGGGATATGGAGAGATTGGGACTCTCATGCACTGCTTGTTTGACTGTGAATTGACACAACCACTGTGGAAAGCAATATGGCAATTCCTTAGAAAGTTGGAATTGGAGATACCATTTGACCCAGCAATCCCATTACTAGGTATATATCCTAGAGAGGTGAGAGCCAGGATAGGAACAGATACATGCACGCTCACGTTCATTACAGCACTATTTACAATAGTAAAAAGATGGAAACAACCTACGTGCCCATCAGCGGAAGAGTGGATGACCAAACTGTGGTACATACACATACTGGAATGCTATGCAGCACTAAAGAATAATGTAGAGTCTGCAAAACACCTCATAATTTGGATGAACTTGGAGGACATTATGCTGAGTAAAATAAGTCAATCACAGGACAAATATAGTATTAGTTGGTTGTTGTGGAGGGTCAAGGAAAGGTTTATATATGGAAGGAAACTTTCTTTGTTGGTTGCCAGGGGTGGGGGGGGAGGGGAAGGAACACTGCAAAAAAAAAAAAAAAAGAAAGAAAGTATTGACTCATGTCGCTTTAGTTTTGGGTATTTCACTGTACATAAATTATATTTCAATAAAATACATTTAAAAAAAAAGAAAAAAAGAGTCATCACTAACAAACATTTCACTTGATTGCAGAAGTACTTCTGTATTAAAATGTCATGAATCTTGCATGCCCTACAACGTGAAACAATGAAAAAACTGATCATTAAGAGCCTATGTACTCATGTCCCAAGCTTCTTTTTAGTATATTAAACATGTCAAACTCTACCCTTCTTAGGCCTTCCTATATTGTATAGTCTTCCCTGTGATGCACTCATCCTAGACACTTTACCTGACTGAATCTTTGTCGTCCAACAGCTTTCAGCTTAAGTATCTCCTCCTTAGTGTGGTCACTGCTAGGGAACCTAGGTAGATTCCCACACCACCTATGGCAGAACATTTCTTTTCTAGCAGGATTCATTTTAGAATTACTTACTTATGTGTTGATTTATCTATTTGTTTGCTACCTCCTTGACTAGAAGGTAAGCTCCAAGAGGATGAGAATTTGTTTCCTTTTGCTTATCACTTCAATCTAGCTCCTGATATGTTGCCTAGAGAGCTCTGTGGCTGGTAATTAGAAGATCAGTGGTTCAAATTCACTAGTTGCTCCACAAAGGAAGATGAGGCAATCTACTTCCATAAAGATTTACAGCCTTGGAAACCCAATGGGGGTCGCTATGAGTTAGAATCGATGCAATGACTGTGAGTTTGGTTTTTTTGGTTTAGTGTGTTGCCTAACATATAAGATATATTCAACAAACATTAAGTGTATGAGTAAATAACAATTTTCCTAACTAATCTTGCCAGTCTCATCACCATTTTTATTGTCTATTTACTGCCTACCTTTCCTTGAACATTCTCAGAAAAAGCTTTTGTTCACACCATTGCTTCTTAATTGCTCTACACTTATCCGAAATCAATCCAGCCTTCAAGATTCAGATTCAACCTTACCTTCTTGTAACTATTCTAGCACATGCTCTTATTTCTTAAATTTTTCAAAACAACTACATTACCGCCATTCATATCTATAATGTGTGATTACTTTATTAGTTGGTTCTCCATATTTATCCAATCTCCATCCTTGGAAACTGGGACTATGTCTTATTTCTATTTATTCATCAAAGTGTCGGTGGCTGAGCATGTTCTGTGTTTGAATTATATAATGAAAATCAAACCACCTATCCCTTTTAAGTACTAAAGTCTCTTTAAGGGGAGAAAATACATTGCTCTACATGCCTTTCCAACATCATTCAAACTGACCATATGCCAGTGCAGTGGCTGCCAGTGAGAACGGATGGCTGAACAGTTTTCTGGGCAGTTTTCAGAGCCTCATAGGAAGCTGCTATTCAAGAGCTGTAGGTGAGTGCTTGGGAGGAGAGCCAGGCATGAATGCCTCCTGTTCAACCCTACAGTATTCTAACTACTGGCATCATGGCAACTTGCAACCACTCCTGTGATTTACTCCAAGCACCATATTGATGGTTTAGCAGTGTAGCAGGTGGTTAGAAGTCTCCAGGGCCAATTGACTTGTGACACTTACTAAGGAAGAAGATGCCCTTTTCTCTGTACATACAAGGAGACAATCCTCACTTGTCTGAGTTCTAGGAGAGGAGATGATGCAAGGTTCTTGGTATGAAAAGGCACATGATTTGACTGACTTATGTACATCTTCACTCTAAAAGGTTGATTACACAATGAAGCTCAGCTGTAGCAGATTGAGCTTAGCCAGATTGATAAGTGTATTAAGATGAACCTACAACACACTCTTGTGTCTCATTTACTCTTCTTCTGAAATAGAAATAGAGGGTTTGATCCCTCATCATACAATGGGTGAAAATGAAATTATGAAGAGTTACATGACTTACCTGAACTCACACATACTGTGAATTGGGGACAAAACACAAATGTTCTGTTTCATAGCTTTATTCTGTCTGTACCAAACATTACCTTATGTTTGTCTTACATCTAATACATGAAAATATTGAGCATTCTGGGTAAGAGGGGGGACATTGTTCTAGCTTACTTAGTACTTTAAGTGCACAAGCTTTGGGTATTAACAAATTTGCACATTTCATATACTGTATGAGAATGTT